AAACATTCCTTTAAAACATTAGAACAAGTAGCACTGACCTGAAAAGGTTTTATAGTTTCTGAAAAAAGGAGCTGTAAAACTGCAACTGCAATATGTTTGTATTCTTAAGCAACCTCTAACACAAACTGCAGAGTGGTTTCCAAAGCAACCATGAAACCAACACAGACCCTGTCAAGGTTGTCAGTGACGTAAGTATAACTTTCCTTGAATCATTTCCAACCTAAGAGGGCTAATTTGTGCATCTTTCTGGCATGAAGCATTATCATTCACTAAAAAAGACCCACAGTGATCCCACTTTCTAGCTACGCACTTAGTCATCTGCAGGTAAGAGGTGTTTTTTTCTATTAAAGCATTGTTCCATCAGGAATAGTACACTAATCTTCTACAACAAAGAAGCTGCTGAAAGAGTTGACACATTTGTCAACTTCAGCCTGACATACAGAAGGCAGAAAAGACCACGGGTGTAAAATACTTTTTACAATAAGTATTTTGCACCCGTTGCTGTGACAACAGCTATTGAAAAATTCTGGCAGTCACCAAAAAACTGTAGATTTGTGTGTGTGTTTGAGATTCTGATATAAAATATGCTTCTCTACGACCTTATATGACAGTGTTAAAGGAAGTTACACCACTCTCTCTATCTACGCTCACTGGCCACTTTATTACGCACACCTGTCCATTGCTCATTAAGATAAATGCAATGAATTTTGGATAGGATCTATCTTATCTATCTATCTATCTATCTATCTATCTATCTATCTATCTATCTATCTAAATGACAGAGTGTCTGTTTGGAGGTCAGTAGATGACAATGCTTTGCATTTTTCTTGAGTTGTCGACACCAGAATAAGCTGCTCCTGCAGAGGGAATAAAACGTGTATAATAAAATGATGTAAGAACTGCAACAGTGTCTCACTGACTAAGGAGAATTAATTATTCTAGGCATGTGTAAGAACATGCACTTAATAATAATAATAATAATAATAATAATAATAATAATAATAATAATAATAATACATTTTCTTTGAAAGCGCCTTTCAAAACACTCAAGGTCACTGTACACAGTAGAATAAAAGCAACATAAAAGCAAGCAGTTTACAGAATCATAAAAGCATAAGACATAAACAAATAAAATAGCAGAGTGGAGAGGTTATGTGGGATAAGCTATTTTGTACAAGTGGGTTTTGAGTTTGGACTTAAAGAGTGAGAAGGAAGAGATATTTCTTAAATCAGGAGGTAGGGAATTCCAGAGTCGTGGAGCAGAGCAGCTGAAAGCCCTGCTCCCCATGGTTGCAAGACGGGGGGAAGGGACAGAGAGTGAAAGGGAAGAAGAAGATCTGAGACAACGAGATGGGGCGGTGATCTTAACCAGATCAGAGAGATATGGAGGAGAGAGATGATGAATAGCCTTAAATGTGTACAAGAGTATTTTGAAATTGATGCGATATTTGACCGGGAGCCAGTGAAGCTGCTGCAAGGCAGGAGTGATGTGGTGGACTTGTTCAGTCCCAAAATATAATTTGATATATTGCGTTGAATAATGCCTTTCCCCCTGATATTTATATATATTTGCAACAGATTGATACTATAATGTAGCCTCTCTTGTTCCGGCCTTCCATTAAAGATTCAAATAGCTGACAGTGTCTTTGTTGCACTTTATTATCCATGATGGACTTACCATTGTGAACCTAACAAATCTTTTAGATCGCTCAGCGGACATCTGCAGCTAAGTCTTGAGTGTAATGCCTAATGCCTCTACAACATCTTTACAACATTCCAATGTACTGACTGGTTTACCACTTCATTGATTCATTAGTAGCTTTCATTCAAAATGCAACATCGCCTGTAATGCCTCTGGCTTTGCCCTTTATTTTTACTGAAGCAGTAGTCTCTTGGGGAACTCCTCTGGCATGCTGTATGTGTTTGTTAATATCTCTTATTCCAGCAGCAAAACAGTAATTAACAACATACAGCAGCAAGTGAACACAGTTCCAAATGGATTTTTTTGTCCCTGTGGAAGAGAACAGATATGGGCCGTTGAGTTTCTAAGCTTGCTGGAAAAGACTGCACGTTAACATGCTGCATTTGGGAAACTCTCCTTCAAAATTAAATTAAAATACAAAAGTAAAAAATGTGAAACAGTAATATTCTGCTACAATATAAAGTGAATATATCTAACTATGAATTCATCTAAAATGTACAAATAAAAAAAGCAGTAGCATTCTTTCAGAGCAAGCAAGCCAAGCAATGCTTGCCTGTTAAAATCGAAACATAGACATCAATTAAAACCTACAAAGTTGAAAGTAATCCCTGTTCTTGCATATCTACCACTGATCTATCCTAAAGCTTGTTGCTGGTTTGCATCCGTCATTCATATTACTGCCATTTTGTGGCAGCCACTGGAAATCAGTTGCATCTTTTGTTCCCGTATCTGTTTTGTTCCATTTAACAAAAGCTGGTTCTGCTCAAGCTGTGAGGCCAGCAGCCTTTCTGGTTGTTTGTACATGTGCATTGTGAATAACACTGTTCTTTGAGAGGAAACTGATGGGAGACTCACATGCCAGCTAAGCTGCTGCTGACTCTGCTTTCACTGCTCTGAGATCATCTATAATCTGTGATTTGTGTTGAAACAGAGATAGCATTAGCTAGTAAACAAAAATGTGAAAAACTGAAAAAGAGACTTTGCGTAAGCTTTCGCTTACAGATAAGCTTGCCCAACATGTTTAATATAGAGAAATTAGTGTGCAGGTTGATGATTTAAAAAAAACTCCTTTAGCATGTTAACAATAAAAGCCTTGATGATGGAGAGCTGACAGCCACAAAAAGACACCTGATTTCTAATGCATTATAAGAGGTTGAACACAATGTAAAGTGGGCTACTTAAAGTCGGTTATTTAAACTGAACATTAACCCTCAATAAAGAAATATTAGTCCAGATAAAGGGTTTTTTTTTCTGCTTTTGATACTTTATATACAGTTTGCCAGTATTTGTAATAAGGTGTTTTCATAGTTTGGTAATACTCCTTTCACTAAAGGATTATAAAAAACAATACTTCCAGAATTCCCCATTGTATGTAAAAATGGTTCACAAAGCTGAATACAGCAGCTAATATAACCATCATTGCATAATTAAGAATATTAAGTAAATATTTTGGATTACTAATACATTTCTCTAAACATACATTTCAAACATAATCTTACAATGAGATTTTTTGTTATTTTTCAAAAACAGCCATTTGCGGTATAGATGGGGACAAAATGCATACTCTTTTTGTGGATTTTGTATCAAAAATGTTTTACTATAGCAGACCAATCACTAGATCTGACAGAAATCTACAGAAAATCCTTTACAGAGGTTTTTTTTTTGTGGCTGTTGAACATTTACCTGTTTACTTCACAAACCTCTAACTCAGACAGTTTACCAAGTATGGCGGGGAAATTTTGCATGGCTCTAATTTTAAGCACCTACTCATGTTCAATTGAATGGCCTAGATGTTAAATATTCTTTGAGCTGCTTAATGCTAAGTTTTATGAAGTAAGCTTCGCAGTAAATGAAATATTTCTTCGCTGAGTGGACAAGAAGAGCATTTGAAGATATTCAACCCAAACAGTTTAAAGCTACAGTGAGTAGGGATGGGTATCGTTTAGGTTTTATCCAATACCGGTGCCAAACCGATACTTCTGAAACGGTGCCGGTGCTCAAACCGGTGCTTAAAGAATGGAGAACACAAAATTGGTCCAAAAACCTCTCATGTTCAGCTGGGTTTTTTTTGTAAAAAGATAACAATGTTAGCCTTTTCTGCAGCTATAGGGCATATATGGTATCACTCTTGGCTGGAAGCAGTGCTTAAACAATGGAAAAAACACAAACTTTGTCCAAAAACCTCTCATGTTTAACTGTTTTCCACTTTTTCTTTGGTCATTTTAGCCTTTTTGGCCAGGGTGAAGGGAGTATCTGCCATCAAACAAGAAGATGGCCGCATGCAGCTATGATGATGTTTGCTAGTTCACCTTACATGCATTAATGTAATAACTGGTTAGCCTACTCAACGTAAATTACACACGAACAACATTAAGCTACTCACGCAGAGAAGAACGGCTGCTGCTGCCATCATCATCCGTCATCATTTCTGCTACACTGGCAGGGCTAGGGGCCAGGACTCTCCTCTTTGGGTTTTTGGGGGATGTTGCTAACTCCGGGTCCGATAACAGGCACCACACCCGCAGTGGATCCGCTGGGTGTGAGGTCTTGCAGCAAGCTATCAAATACGGCGCATTTTTCGGCTTTTAAAAAAAACGCTGTGCGTCGCCAGGTGTTTCATCGGATTTGAGGTGTTACTTCCTTTGACAGTATCAGCTTAAAGCACTTGTTGCAGGCTGCTGAGTTTGCATATTTTGCTGTGAAGTACAGCCAGACTTTTGACCGCTTCGCCTTGGGCATTTTTAATCTGTAGCTCTGCTCTAAAAGAACGTACGTACCTGGACCCGCCTACTATCCTCGGAAACGTAAAATGATTGGCTAGAATTCAAAGTGTATCACATCTCAGGAAAAGCACCAAAATGTGCACTGCTTTTCAGTCTGGTTACTACCGTTTATGTCAGAACCGGTGCCATCATGGCACCGGATACCGGTACCCATCCCTAACAGTGAGTGTTGCAAAAGCAGAAAAAACATTTTTTCTGCTTTTGCACTGGAGAAATAAGAAAGAATTCGATTTACCTCAAGTGTTAAAATGAACTCCTTATGTAGTATAAAATAAGCAAAGATAGATGGCACTGACCTAGCATTTTTGTTCGTGGCAGGAGAAACCAGAGCACCTTGATAAAAAAAAATATGAAGATGCAAACTCCACAAAGGTTTGATCCCAGTACTCTCTTTCTGTGAGACAATAGATCTAACCACTGTTCCACCATGTGCGAGGTAACCTCATGGAGCTTATTTTGCTACTAATAAATAACCTCAGTACAGTTTCACAGCAGAAAATAGTTTATTTGTTTTAGGTGTGATGTACATTGTGTTTTAAATCACTTTGATAGATATTTATTTAAATATATTTTCTTAAAATGTACAACAGAGATATACTTAAGTAAGCTGTATACCATAGGATGGGATGGGAAAGTATTACAGCAAACACACTTTAGTATAATTTTGCAAAGAAATGTGTTGCGTCTTAAAAGAAGTCCAATCTTTCAAGGTGAAAACTGCATCTCGCACAACCTGAACAGAAGACAACAAAGAAGCTTTGTACAGCTCTGAGGTAGGAGACAACCATACAGCAACACAAAATAGGGACACCCTGTAGGTGTGCTTTCATTTGGAAAAATAAAGCAAATGTATGATAACCAGTTCACAGTTTTTTAAATACACAAATAAAATACACTTAATACATACATTTTAAAATACATAAATCTCAATATATAAGTATGCCTTTTGAGAAACATATTTATTTAAATATAGCATTTCACACCAAACATGCCATGAATTTGTTAATCACAAAATACAATTATAGCAATAAACTATGCCCAGTTTTTTTTTTTTTAAAGATTTCTACCAACAACTGCTTGGTATCAAATTTTGCTGATACCAAACATGTTATTTTTACTTAACATGTACCACCTGTCAATATCTTGAAAAGACAGAAAAGCATCTTCATGCAAAATACAAAACAATGAATCCAAATAACATTCTTCTCCACTTATGGAGCCCTAATGACTTGGAGGTTGAAGTAGGTCAAAATGTTGTATATAGTGCAGCTAAAATTGAGCTAATGCTGGGTAAATGCCATATGAGGGCTCGAAGCACCTGAACACGAAATCTACAGTTGAACATGGTGTTGGAAATGCTAATGAATCCCATAAGATGGTCTTTATATGGAGGAGGAGCACTGCTTTGCTGTGCATTGCCATATTTCTGACTTTGATGCCTGAGCTCTAGAGGGACCCCAATCCTCCATGAAAAAGCTTGTTTGAAGTCAGAAAAGTAGCATATAGTGCTGCTGACTCACAGGAAATTCCCTCCCCAGTTGCCAACATATTATTATTTTTTTGTTTTGGGATCAGGTGAAGCATACCACAACATTATAGGACAGGTTCTGTGTTGGTCCTAGAAAGTGTTAGAACAATATGAAGTCTCAAACATTGTGACAAATGACAATATGAGGTAAAGTGCAAACCATGATTAAGGCAAATAGTGAAGACAGGGGAAAGTGAGAACATTTCTCATTTAGCTTAACAATAAACATTTCTAACTTTCTAAGTAACAGGAAGTTGTTTTGGGATATAAAATATATGTTTAGGTAAGTGATAAAACAAATACATTTCTGTAGTGGACTAGCTTTATGCTCCTTAATATTTTGTCTCTCCAAATATGAACAAATCCCTGTTCATCTTTTTTGCCATCAAAAATATGAATATATGAATAGTAAATGTTTAAACATTAGCTTCAACGTCTTTCACAAAAGGCAATCTGTGCTGAGCCAATTTAGCCAATCTGAACCAGTTGTCAAGTCTGCTGCTGCTGAAAGGGCAAATTCAGGGACACGGTGGCTTCTCTTGGCTCTGCGACTGGCCTGTTGATCATTTCACATTCATTCTGTCGCACATTCTCCTCGTTCATCTGTGACACCTCCGTAGAGCCGGCTTCAAACCCAGGCACAGTGTTGGCTACATGAACCACGTGAACCTTATTTCTCCCATGTTTACTGAGGATGCAGCTGAACACCTTCTTGAAACCTTTGCGAAAGTGTTTGGAGACCAGAGCGTACACGATGGGATTGACACAAGAGTTGGCGTAGGCCATGCAGTGAGAGAGAAGCCTGAAGGCATATGTGGTCTGATTAAATGGGAAATCTCCATACAGGTAACACAAGATCACCACGTGGTATGGCAGCCAGCATATACAGAAAAGTACAGTGACGATGATGATCATTTTGGTGACTTTGCGTTTAGCCCTCTTGGATTCTGACATGCCGTCCAGAGGGTCAACAGCCGTCCACAGGTACTTGATAGTTCGAGTGTACGAGAGGCTCACGATGAGCACAGGGATGACATAGCCAAACAGGAAGGTGCACGTGTCCAGCACCTTACGATTCTGCTCCTCCCAGCCGGGGATACACACTGTGCTGTTGGCATAATCAATCAGGTCATAGTAGCTGAGATATGGACCCGCAAAGACCAGGGAAAGACCCCAGATAACTACCATGGCAACAACAGCATTACAAGGGGTTCTTAGCTCCCTGGAGCGCAGAGGATAGCGAATAGCCAGATACCTATAAAGACAAGAAAATAACATGTTTGAGCTGTAATCTAGACTGCAAATTACAGAAAAATGGGGACAGCAGGTTAAAAACTTTAGTAATTAAGACGGAACTTATAACTGTATATGTTAAAAAGTAGAAAGTGAAAGATTACTTGTGACTGCATATCTTTAGTCTATATAGCTGTAATTTACTTTAAATGTTTTAACTGTAATAATACAAGACAATACAAAACAGTCAACATATCAAAAGCACTTAAAATCAATGACTTGAAATCAATGACTTGTCATTTATCATTGTCTTGACTCATAAAAGTCACTTGAAAGCAACAGTTTCCTCAAAGAATAATTTCAAAGGCAACAAAATAATGGAATTGTATTGCACACAGTCACATGTGATTGTTCAACCACAATTTTCCCTAGTGTGATTGCACTATAAATCCAGAGATTTATAGTAAAGATACCAGCTTTTTGGCATATTTTCCAATACAGCACTAAAAAAATGAAAGAAACACTTATTTGAAAATAAATCAGATCTCAATTGGGAACAAAAACGAAATCTACACTAATATGAACTGGATAATGTATTACGAATGAAAGGATGCCACATTATTTGATCAAAAATCAACCTACAGACGGCTGAAGACACTGAAAATCACAGAGGATAAAATGACGTGGCACATTTGTCCATTTTACTGAAACTTCATTGCAGCAACTCAAACAGGTACTTAGTAGCTTGTAAGGCCCACATGTACTTGTATGGATGCATAACAACATTGGGGCGTGCTCCTAAAGAGATAATGCATGGTGTCCTGTGGGATCCTCCTCCCAGATATGGACCAGGCCATCACCAAGCTCCTGACCGAATCATAATTCCCCTCAGGTGTTCTATTAGATTTATGTCATGCGAGTGTGGGGCCAGTCAATGATATCAGTTCCTTTATTCTCCGAGAACTGCCTACATACTGTCACCACATGAGGCTGGGCATTGTCACATACCAGGAGGAACCCAGGACACAAACCAGTGCAGTCAGACCATCACTGACCCATCCACAAAATGGTCATGCTGAACAATGTTACAGGCAGCACAACGTTCTCCATGGCTTCCTTCATGTATGTCCCATTTGCTCACCCACCTGCTGTGGGAAAGGATAGGGTGCCAGTGGTGGACTTGCCAGTTTTGGTATTCTATGGCA